AATAGGCAATACGTTAGTTAAAGCTGATGCTGAAGTCGAAAAAATTGGAGTTGAAAAGAAGAACTTACCTGAAGTTGGAAAGGACTGGTAGAAACATTAAGAAAATAGAAAAAATTAAATAGCACTGAAGAGTTCATAGTTAATAATGATAGGAGTAAAGCTTCAGATAGTAGAGCTGAGATCTATTTTGATGATAAGGTTGATAAAGTTGAGATAGCCAAAAAAGATATAAATTGTAGAAATAGAACAATGATGATGAATTGTAATAAAAAGGATAAGGATTTAAAAGAAGACACTGGTACTACTGAAAATGATAAAAAAACAATGTCTAAAGATAGAAACAAGGTACCTGAATAGTATTTAAAGTCAGCAAAAGGTGATAATATGTGTGGACGAAATAGTCTTGAGTGTTGTTATAAAAAAGGTGGTGGTATGGAAAAGGATGAATGTAAACCATACATTCATTATCAAAGATATGCTAATGCGAATAATCCCAATAGAGCATTTGATATTCGAAGTTGCTACTAGAGTAGAATAGAAAGTGAGAGACAAAAGCATGCAGCATCCATTAACTATCAAAGATTTGCTAAGGATGAATGTAAAGAGTCTGGGTGGAATTTGAAACTGATAAAGTGATCTAGAATCAGTTAAACACAAAGTAAACATTAAATAGCATGATAATAATGAACAATCGAAAAAGGGTTTAGCCAGAACATGTGAAACAAGCTAATGAATGATCAAAATTCTTGGTGCTACTGTGGTTATAGACCAAAAGATAAGTAAGAATCAGGTTGTATCATGTGGTAGTGAAAAGATCAACTTTTTCAAGCAGCTGTACTTGGATCACATGATCAGATATAATAAACTGGAAAGCATAATATTTAGAAGCCATCTTGATGTTTGTAAACTTGGAAAAATAGATATATAAACGTTGCGATCTCAAGGGCATTTGTAATGATAGATATTGAAAATGAATTACATGATGTGAAAAAAATTTTTTTTTAGTATCTGTATTTGTCAATATATATGATAGTTAGTTTAATTTAGGTATTAGAATAGCTGTGCAATGTATAACACTGCGCAGAATTAGTACGATCACGTATAACATGTAAATTTGGACTATTCAAAAGTTATTGATAAAAGATTTCAATACTTATTAAACATACAAAACTTTGAAATATAATGTAATTATTATAAATTCTATATGCGAAAATATTATCTTTTAGGTGATAACGCAGCACAAATTTTTTAAAGTTTGTTTATTTTAGTGTTAGAGATAGTTTTATAGGCTAGAAAAGAGTAGTTTGCATAGTAAAATTGCCTAAAGAAAGCCTTTTGTTAGAGCACCAAAAGTGATTTCTTATGTATAATTACGAGAAGTAAGCAAAATGAATATTTGTTTTAAATTTTCTTAATAGTATTACATTGCAACTGATCTTGAAATCTAATTCATAGCTCAGGCAATCTGCGCATACATTTAAGAGTACAAAATTAGGTATAATAGGAAAATTCAAAACAAACAGCACATATTGTTAAAAATTACTTTTTTCTCAAAGAATTGCATATATAACTACTCTTCATACACTAATAAAAAAATTTTTTTGAGCAATTTTACTATGTACCTCTTTAGTCTCTAGTATTAATAAGAGTTTTGATACTAACACTACAATGAATGTACTTAAAAGAATTTTAACTATGCTACAAACCTGGCACACATTCAAGTAATGCCCTGATTTTGAAATCTGATTCGTAGCTCAGGCAATTGGCGCCACAAACCTGGTACACAAATTGAAGAACTGCATAGATTACAAATAATGATGACATTAATTATGATGATCAAACTAAATTATTATAACCTCGGTGCTTACCTTAAATGACCATTATATCATATGATTATCATAATAATACTTAAATAAGCAAAACATGATAACCATAATACTTTCTAAAATAGAAAAAAATATA